TGCTCCACCCCACTGTAAACTAGTTCCTGCTGACCCTTTACATCTCAGGTTCTTGACTGGTTGCAGGAGATCCTCTTTAACCCCCACAAGCAGGCAGGATTCCCTTGCTGGGGCTGTTCATCATGGCGTTTCATTTCTCTTTTTAACATGCTTTCCCAACTGGATGGTAGGACTTGATGAGCATAGAAAAACAAGAGGAAGGAAGGGAGGAAAGGCTACAGTGACACAGTTGGACTGAGATAATCATGTGGTTCATCCTGGCTGAACCGCCATATTTTTAAGAGTAAATCATGTGGGTATCATGACATATTTTGATCCCTTGCTCTTGCTTTCACTTTGTCTATGCACAATGCATTATAATCTCTAAGTCCTTTCAAGGTTAAAACTAGCCTCTAGCAATATGAGGATGAAACTCCTCCACCCAGGACTACAGGTTCCTGGAGACCACGGATGTGGAGTCACTGAACCCAAGATCCAAGGGAGCTGGTCTGCATGCCCGGAACCCTGTGATGAAGAAAGAGGAACAAAGTAAGTGAGAATCACAGAAGTCCCAAGGACCTCTAGAAGGAAGTGAAGGGGGATTTAGCACAATGACTAGGATTCCAGAAAGTACTGTCATCGCCTCCACATCTAACTGAGAGAAAAGTCTGCTCCTGGCACCCCCAGTGGTGGATACAGCATAAAGACACAGCCACAGCCATTCACCTTTGGGAGGATAAAGTGATAAGTGCTGATACCAGAGGTTGGTCAGAGAAGAATGTGTGTTGGAGCATCCAGATGCCCCTGCAGCCCACCTCTGCCAGGAGAAGTGCATGGGTCACTTTGGAAAGTGAGGCAGGACATCTGGGAGAAAAAGCCTGAGGGCACCTTTCCCTGTCACAGGAGGCAGCATCCAGTGTCATCACACTCAGCCTGATGGTCTCTGACACTGGGACAGAATGAGCTGTGGCCTTGACAGACATAGACACAAGCCAGTAGCACATGTGAGGAGAAACGAGTGGAACAGGGCACGATCCCTCAGAGACAAACTGCCAGGAGCGGCAGCATTGAATTGGCAACCAGGACGGGTGATCTGCAGGCTTTGGAGACCTGACAGGAAAGCGGAAGCCTCAATATAAGGGGTAAGAGTGGAGCCAGGGCAGGGAACTGGTGTGCAAGGACTGCAGGGGGAAGGGGAGACACCAAAGTGACACAAAGAGGTCATTCTGGAAGGCAGCCCCTCATCTGTGACCAGGGGAACATAAGGCAGGTTCAGACCACTGACAGAAGACACCCAGATGGGGGCTCTGCTGAGCATGTCAGAGGCCTCTGCAGCATGTGTGCCTGCAGGGTGACCTGGTCCTCCTGGGCCCCCTATGTCTGCAGGGAGGCTCCACATTGCTGGGAGAACCCACTGCTCTATGAACAGGCCCCAGTAAAGGAGTGGGGGTCAGGCCTCTAAGGAGCCACACTGGTGACTATGCACTGCATGCCTGAGGGTCTGAGAGGGTGCTACTGCCAGTGTGGAAACTGCACCCACCAGCTGCCTCTGAGCTCAAAGTCACAGCGCAGTCACAGATCCACTAGGGTGGCACTGACAGAGCAGGACCCCAAGGAACAGAGCAGGCCCCATCCCTTCCTGTGGCCCCAGGCTCCCTCAGCTCTCCAACCCACCTGCAAAAGAGGAATAAGGTCGGGAGAACCCCAGTCCAAGTTCCAGAGTTGAGTTTGGGGAGAAAGTAGGTTAATAATGGGCACAGGGCTGCCCAAGGAACTCAACCTCCCAGCCTGGCCTAGGTCCAGAAGGAGCAGGAGAGTGGATGCCACTCTGCACCAGCAGGCAGAGGACTTGGTGGGGCTGAGGAGCACCTAAGAAGCTGGGCAGAGGCCACCATTAATTTGAGCACTAGATTTTACAAGAGAGCAAACATAAATAACGGTAGCCTCCTAGAAAGCCTGGTTGACAGAGCTACCTGGTCACATCTGCCAGTCAAAATCACCATAACTTAGAAAAACGAAGCAGTATGGGGGCTTCTTATTGTTTGAGTACAAGTGGGCACAAGTCCTGCGGACAACACCAGGCATGCAGCTAGCAGCTCAGACTCAGAGGTGGGAATCTGGCCATCTAAGACACGAGCATTCCTCACCACAAGGACAGAGCAAGACCAAGTGGCTCCTGTGAAACCAGCACAAGAACAGGCTGCCTTCAAGAGCCAGGTGCCCTTATCCTGCCACACTCATGCAGAGAAACTGGTTTGCTACACAGCAGGTCCTGTCCCCACTGCCAGTTTCCTCTCCATATAGTTGCTGTGCTGCACACTGGTTTCCAACACTGAGACATCTGCCTGAGTTGGGAAGACCCAAAGCAGATAGCTCGTGTGGGGAGTCATTTGAGGACGATACACTGTCCTCACTGCTCGGCTTTACTGCAAGCAGAGCACAGGGATGCAGCTAAGGGTCTCCATCATGGTGGCTCCTGGAGACATGGTCCTGTGAAGTCACAGCCAGCTGGCCTCAGAGTATGGCCTGCAGAATGCCGAGGGTCAGGAGTCGCAGGACGAATCCTAAGAGGTGACCTTAAGGAGAAACAAGAGTGGCTTCTGTGCCTCAGTGAAGGGGGATTGGGACAAAGTCCCCATGAGAATCTGTGCGAGGATCACAGAGCAGTCTGAGTTATTAGGTCATAAGGGAAAATACCCTGTATGTCCCTGAGAAGGCGAACCCAAGCCACACAGCGTTGCTGTAGCAGTGGTGCCCTGTCTGAATGCACACAGCTAGGAAGGAGAGGGCTACAGAGGGCACAGAGGCACAAGAACATGGGCAGAGTCCAAAATTGGGAAACCACTAAAGCAGGAAAAGAAGGAGAGATCTGACATTCAGAAGGGATCCATTACCTTTGCAGAGCAGGAAAACCTGCAGGGCTTGACAGAAGATAGACTCTGTGGAGTGGGAGGGTTCAGAACTAAGGGAAAGTCCCGCCCTGCTCAGCCTTTCCTGATAGACAGTCTTGTTCACTGCTGCAAGACTCCTGAGACACAAATCTTCTGTCTGACCAGCGACCATTGTTCTGGTTTCTCATTCGCCCACCCCATACCTTATCCCTTGGGTCATTTTGGAGAGCCACATTCACTGCTGTCTCAGCTCCTACTGTGTGGTCCCCACCACTTAGCACTCTTATCCACCGCTGCAGACACCCTGCAGAGGCAGAGAGTGGGGCTATGACTTCCAGGCCTCCTCCACCATCCTGGCCTCAGTGATACCTGAAAGTAACATCCCGACCTCACATAACACTAGGCATCATTTTCCTCCATTGCCTCTTCCATCTTGGCAGCATCTCCAGGTTGATTTAGCAGCCTCATTACACTCAGAAATAAAGGAGAGTTCCAATGGGTCTGAAAGAGTTTGAACCTGAGCCCAGACCAGCTCTACCCCAATCCAAGACTCTCTCCACACCCTCTCTGAGGACCCCTGGCACCACCATCGCTCCATCCCAATGTGCACTTTTCACACATTTTCCAGGCGTGCGTGCTGGGCTCAGTTTAGTTGGGCCCTCAGCTGTGTAAGACTATAGATTGAGTCTCATATTTATTTTTGTCAACACTATGTGAAACTCTCAATATTTGTCTTAAACACTTTCTAACATTCTAATCCTTTTTGAAATGTAGAAAATGTAAACATTATAAGAAACTAAGATGAATGACTCAATAAACAGTCTCCAAGGCATGTTTAAATCTGTCAGTGAGCATATGGAGTCGGGAGTGGTAGTCAACAAGGACATGTTTATTGGGAAGACCTCAAGAACACTGAGGGTAGAAGCACATTATTTGAGTGTCAGAATTCTATTGGGAAGGACTAGACTTGATCTGTAATAATCTATGAGCCAGAGTCACAGTCATATTCAGTTCATTTAATTCTTGAATTTCATGCTGCAAATCAATACGATTTGTGCAGAGGTAAGGAGAATACTGGTTGGAGAATGAAAGACTACTCATCATTTCTAAAACAAATATCAAACCTACCCTCAGCTTCTGTCTAGGACACAAACAATATGTGTTTTTATTCAATCACAGAGAAAAATTTAACATACCCATCTCACTTAACATATCCATGTCACTCACTTTAATGGATCAGAGGTGTTTTCCAGAACAGTTTTCTAACAGCAGGGAACATATGTCTGCCCCTGTCATCATTAGACACAGTAGTTTCATTTGTCCAGTTCTGTTTAGCAATGATGGCTTCCAGAGCTGTGACAGCTGAGTCCCTTCAATTGTCCTCACTTCAGGCCAAGAAGGAAAGTCAGATCCTCATTACCTAAGTCCAAAGCCAGGGATAGGTTAGAAATCTCAGTCGTTTTCCAGGTGAATTCCTAGATATGCAACAGCTGTCAAAGTTAGAATTTCTACAGTTAAAGCAAAGTAGCGATCCTAAAAACTTGTTTCACCTGAGTGCTAGACAGAAGGACGTGGGAAGGTGTCAGTGACAGTTCACATCACAGTCAGACCATTTTTGAAGTCTAAGGGGCTTCAGGGGAAACTTGAGGTAAGGTAGTGGGGTAGAAGTCTTCTTAGGGGCAGTGGTCACCCTACAGCACTACAGTATAGAGTCCCCCGTGTGCTGTGGGGTCTACACTTCCTCCCTCACTCTTTTCAGGCTCATATATCTAAATTCTAGGTGTGATTTCAGGATTTCCACCCTGAGTATTGCATGTCTAGAAGGAATGGAAAACAATTTCCCACCGCTGTAAGGTTACATCACAGGGGGCATTTTTCTCTACCGGGGAGCTTTGCCTGGAAGCACTGGTGTCACTTGGGGGACAGCCCAGGGTACCCCATGTCTGCAAGGCCTGTAGATTCACACCCAGCCACAGTCCTCTGTCAGCCAGACCCAGAGCACCAGCATGCTGAGCTCCTCCCTGCACTTGTACCTCTGCAGAGCCAGAGGTGGGCTCACTGACCTTCAGCACAAACCTGGCTCATCAGATCCACAGGAAGATCGATCTCTGTCCCCATGAAACACACAAATTAATTTTGGAAGAAGGGAAAGAGCTTCCTGAGAGCTGCTTTGACCTCTTTGTTTCTCAAAGTATAGATAATGGGGTTCAGGGTGGGGCTCAGCATGCTGTACAGCACCCCAGCCAGCTTGCTCTTCTCTGCATTGTAGCTGGAGACGGGACTGATGTAGGCATAGAAGACGGCAGTGTAGTACATGCACACCACGATGAGATGGGAGGAGCAGGTGGAGAAGGCTTTCTGCTTCCCCTCTGAAGTCCGCATCTTCAGGATGCTGGAGATGATGAAGCCGTACGACACGATGGCCATCAGGAAGTTGAGGATGCCGTAGAAGGCATCCGCAAGGACGATCATGATGCTGTTCACATAGGTGGAGCTGCAGGAGAGCAGCAGCAGAGGGGGGACCTCACAGAAGAAGTGTGTGATGACATTGGGGCCACAGAAGTCCAAGCGTAGCATCAGCCCTGTGTGTATGGCCGTGTTGAAGGCACAGAGCATCCACACACCAGCGGCCAGCAGGCTGCAGAAGGCCTTGCTCATCATGGTGCCATAATGCAAGGGGTGGCAGATGGCGGCATAGCGGTCATAGGCCATGACTGTGAGGAGCAGCAGCTCTGAGGATGCAGCCCACGTGAGGAAGTAGAGCTGGGCCATGCAGCCCCCATAGGAGATGGTGCTCTGCTGTGACACCAGACCCTGCAGGGCCTTGGGCATGATGGACGAGGTGCAGATAATACCCATAGTAGCCAGGTTGAACAGGAAAAAGTACATGGGGGTGTGGAGCCCAGGGTTGAGGGTGATGGCCAAGATGATGAGGATGTTGCCAGTGAGCGCCACAGTGTAGAGGGAGAGGAAACAGCCAAATAGGAGTACCTGGTACTCTGGGTGCTCTGAGAAGCCCTGCAGGATGAACTGTGTCACCAGCGTCTGGTTACTCATTGTCTTTGAGCTGTTTTATCTCTGTTTCTGGGTCTATCTGGCCTGTCTCCACTCACATCTTCACATACATTTGGGCTGCAGAGAGAGACTGGTCCCAAAAAAGCTTGCTTCTATGCTTCCCTCATCCCTGACAATGTGGCAAGTTTGATATCAGGCAGATGTACCAGGATGCACAAATTAAGGCGAAGGCACCAATGTCATAGAAGCAAGCAACATGACATTTTAGTTCCTAAAAGTAAACACAAGTAGCCAATGCTATGCAAGGAGCTTCATTCAACCTCAGTCAAAGAAATGTAGAGCCAGTCCACAACACACTTTTCATCATCCACCACTGGACAGAACCAGGACAGGGAGGAAGTGACTGGCATCCACTTGGCACAAAAATGCTGGCCTTTTAATTGTGAGCTCCCTCTGAGCCAAAACTCTGCTTTTTGGAATCTTATCTTAGGGAAACAACTTAAAATATTTTCAAGTTGTCAGAGCCACATCGTTTATGATTGGGAATTTAAAAGCAACATGTATTCTGAACAGTGAGTTTCT